ATAAGATGATCCATGTGAACAACAGTGTCACGGGATAGTGCAGGCTTCGGTAACTTTTCCCCAGGGAGCCTGGTTGACAGTGCAGGGTCTGGAAAATGCCATGATTATAGCAGGCCCTTCCTATTCAGGGTAACTTTCTACTTCCCAGACACTGTCTCAGTCGCCTCTTTTCTCCCCTCACACTAATCCTTAGAAAAGCCTTCTAAGCCGGGTTCGGTGGCTCAGCCTGTAACTTGGCGAGACCTCATCTCTACAATAAATCAAAAAATTAGCCGGGTGTGGTCGCGCGCCTGTAGTTGCAGTTACTTGGAAGGCTGAGGCGGAAGGATCGCCGGAGCCCAGCAGACAAGGCTGCGGTGGCCGGGAGCGGCCACTGCACTCCAGTCTGGGCGACAGAGGGAGACTCCAACTCAATAAAAAAAAAAAGAACAGCCTTCTAGCCTCAGGGAAAACACTGCCTCCTTCACCACCGATGCTCAAAATAAGCAGAATGAAGACCTTCCCAGCACTGCATTTAAGGGTCCAGGTCTGGGGACAGAGCCTTGGACATTCCCCAGTCCCCTCCAAGAGAATGGGGAACAGAGTCAAGAGTCATACATGTGTCTCTGCACATATGAGGAGGAACAGTCCATGTATACACATGGGGGAGGGGGCAGTCCATCTACACACAAGTAGGAGGGGTGGTCCCTCACACACATGGGGGAGGGACAGTCTATCAACACACACAGAGTAGGGGACGGTCCATCTACACAGACAAGGGGGGGCAGTCAATCTAAACACATAGGAGAGGGGACACTCCATCTACCCACATAGGGAGGGACAGTCCATCTACACACAAGGGGGAGAGATGGTCCATCTACACATGTGGGAGAGGGACGGTCCATCTATACACATGGGGGAGGGATGGTCCATCTACATATGTGGGGGAGGGGACAATCCCTCTACACACAAGGAGAAGGGGACAGTCCATCTACACACATGGCAGAAGGGACAGTTCATCTACACACATGGGGAGGAGACACTCCATCTATACACAGGGAGGAGGGGAGGTCCATCTACACACAAGGGTAGGAGACAATCCATCAAGACACATAGGGGAAGGGACAGTCCTACACACATGGGGGAGAGGACAGTCAATCTACACACACAGAGGAGGCAACTCACCATGTATACACAGGGGGAAGGAGAAGTCCATCTACACACAAGGGGAGGAGACAGTCCATCAAGACACAAGAGGGAGAGGACATCCATCTACATATATGGGGGAGGAACAACCCGTCTACACACACAGGGGAGGAGATACTCCATCTTTACACGGCGGGACATGGCAGTCCATCTACACACATGGGGGAGGAGACAATCCATCTGCACACAAGAGGGAGAGGACAGACAATCTACACACATGATAGAGGGGACAGTCCATCTCCACACGAGGAGGGGACAGCTCATCTACAGTCTTGGGAAAGGGGACGGACCCTCAACACACATGGGGGAGGAGACAGTCCATCTACACACATGTAGAGGCAGTCTTGGCTCGATTGCAGATGGTGTGCTCCCCAAAAATTTAAGGGGAGAACCAGCAAAATTATGTAAACACAAGTTCAGGGAAAAAAAGAGATCTGGAGAGAAGAGCAGTAGGACACGGATCCTCTTCAAAATGGGAATAATCTCACCCAGGTGGTCTGCTGTGAGGATGGAAGATCACATGTGTGTAGACGCCTACACACACACACACACACACACACACACACACTCTCTCTCTCTCTCTCTCTCTTTCTTTCTTTCTCTCTCTCTCTCTCCCTCTCTCTCTCTTTCTTTCTTTCTCTCTCTCTTTCTCTCTCTCTCTCTCTCCCCCTTTCAGACACACACATACCGCCTGCTCTCCAAAAGGGATTAGTTCGTGGCAGCTGCTACCATGGCCACCCTTGCCTCACCGGTGCTGCCCACGGCTGCTGAGACTGGTGCTGCCGTGGTCCCCCTGCAGAGCGGCACTCACAGGGCCTAGGGTAGACCTGCTGGGCACTTGGATTTTTCGTTCCTAGGGACAAAGAAACATGCACCCAATGATGATTGTTCTGTTCATTGTGAGAATTTTGTCCATGGTGAGAACTTCGGGAAAAATCTTTCGGTGGCTTTTTAGAAAATTCTAATCGAAGGGGAGTAAGCCAGGAGTTTTGACACACATTCTTTGAGTTCCATCCTCTTTTTGGTAGCTGGTAGTAATCCCCTTTCATTCTCTTTCTCCCTTCACTGTGCTCATAGGCTGGGCACCCCGAATATTTCATCATATTCTATCTGCCTCCTTTTGGTGAGAGAGAAGAGAGAAAAAACAAGAAACATGTTCAGAAGTGGAGTGAGAGGTGCTTGAGATCCCACGCCAGGCTTGCCAGATGGATCTCTGGCTTTTGAATATCTTACCCACTCTTTCCTAAGAACCTGGCACTTTGTGAATAGGCGTGATTAATCTGTCATGTGAACGAATGGGTCAGTGGATGAGGGAACAAATACCTGCGCAAGAGACACCTCTGGTCTGTGCTTCCTAAAAACATGTCGTGCTTTGGGCTTGTATATATAAATTTATTTTCCATATTTTCATTGGTCACCATGATTTAAATGTTTGCCTGAATGTATCTTAAAACTTCTTGTGGTGCCAGTTTGTAGTCTCAGTTTAAAGTGAATTATTCTTTGCAGCAAACCGTGAAGACACGGTGGTTATTCTCATTCAGTTATAGCTGTCTGGGGGCAAACATGCCCAAGTAATTTGACCGTTCGTTACTGCATGCCGGTAGTGTTTACAGGCATAATATACAACAAAATGTAGGAAGAAGGAAGTCCTTGTTACACAGGAAGTTCTCCACTTATATAATTATAGAGCATTAGAAGGAGATTTCGTGTTGATTCAAAGACTGAGGAAAACAATCATCTTCGTCTCTCAGAATTCTCTCTGCCTACATTGCAGGTAAAAGTCTATTTTTTCTTCAGCTCTTTATCATTCTTTATCAAAATGGGTTTTCCTTTCCCCCTTTCAAGGTGCACTCTGCTTTGTTGGTGTTCGCGCTCATGGTGGCGGAATACCATGACAGCTTTATCACTGAAGCAAGTGGAAGTGTAACATTGACAGTCTTTTTCACGAAAGATGCTGTGCTATTGTCAAAAGACAAAAACATACATTTGCTGTATTCATGACACTTGAGGTTAAGCGAAAGGCTGTTTCTTTTCATTTAGAACGTTCTAGAATTGAGCAAAGCATGTTCTTTAAACGAGGTGTCTCTGGTGACAGATAACTTGATATACTACTCTATTTTTTAAATATCTGTAACTCTTACAATGTTGAGCAAAAGAAGTCTGACCATTTCCGTGTAGAAGCATTGTAGCTGGAACAAGGGTCAGTAGCCCCTGGAGTCTGTGTCCCTCCCCCACTAGCCCTTCCCCCCTCACCCCCCAGGGAGGAGGAGCTTTCTGGAGGGGGGCGGGGGGAGGTTAAGAGCACAGGCTTTGGCATCTGAGACAAATGGACTCCACCCTGCCACTTAGCCCCTGTGACACTGGGGGAAGTTACTTCTCTGCTGGGATTCCGTCCTTCTCTGTAAAAGGGGGATTAACAGTGCCTCCTACAGAGGACGGTGGCGGCAATTAAATGAGGAAAGCATTTAGCAGAGTCCCTGGCACATACAGGTACTCAAATGTACTAGGTGCAGCTCTTAAGCTTAACTTGCAGTTGTTTATAAATAGCTCTTGCCTATTCCTGGGGATGTATTCTTAGCACATACTTCAATCCATTCATTTGAAAATGCACACATTGGGGGCTCACAGCGGCTTAGTGAAAACCAGTCCTGCTATTTTCAGGCATCACATACTCAGAATAGGTGTCATGCAGGAGAATATAAAGATTTTCTATCTCATTAGTTGCATCAACCTTCAACTTTCTTACAGAACCGTGGATTTGGGGGAACTGGGGAGATAAGAGATAGCGGGGGCGGGGGTTGCGGGTGATGAGTTGCATTTTTGCAAAACCTCTATAAGAATTGTTTTATACTGTTGTGGCTAAATTAAAGAAAAAAAGAATCCAGATAAACTTGTATTTATTTGCTAGGGATTACTTGGAATGTTTATTTGGAGACATTGAGAATTCATCCCAGCTGGGCTTGGTGGTTCAGCCTGTAATCCCAGCATTCTGGGAGGCCGAGGCAAGTGGATTGCCTGAACCCGCAGGTTCATGACCAGCCCAGACAACTTGGCGAGACCTCGTCTCTACAATAAATCAAAAAATAGTCGGGCATGGTAGTGGGCGCCTGTAGTTCTGTCTACTTGGAAGGCTGAGGTGGAAAGATCGCCGGAGCCCAGCAGGTCGATGCTGGGGTGGCCGTGAGTGTGCCACTGTACTCCAGCCTGTGCAACAGGGTGAGACTCCAACTCAAAAAAAAAAACAAAAACAATCCATCCCCCAAGTATATCAAGCAGGTAGAAAGACACCCGTTGCTTCAGATACCGCACTAGGCACTTGTATGTTTTCGCTTTATATTTTAAGGGAAAAATAGAGGCCTACAGGGATGGTGGCTCACACCTGTGATCCTCCCCCCAACCACCACTTTGGGAGGCCGAGGCAGGAGGATCCCTTGAGTCTAAGAATTTGAGACCATCCTGGACAATGTAGCAAGACTGCATCTCTGCAAAAACTTAGCCAGATGTGGGGGTGCACATCTGTAGTCTCAGCTACTCTGGAGAAGGATCACCTGAGCCTAGGAGGTGGAGGCTGTGATGAGCCATGATTGTGCCGCTGCATTCCAGCCTGGTGACAGAGAGAGACCTGACTCAAAAAAAAAAAAAAAATGGAAAATAGAGGGGCCTTGCCCTGAGGGCTCCTCTGCAGCCTGTGCTCACCTCCCTGACATTGCTCCGAAGTCTTGCTCCCGACTGGAGCCTGATGATGTACCTCTGCCACTCTGCACAAGAAGTACTTTCCCAACACTCTGGTCTCTCTGCAGGACTTGGCCTGCTGCCCCCATGTCGCCACCTTCGAAGGCCTGACTTACCCTCTCAGCTTGTGCTAGTTCCTGCTCCCGCCATGGGACCCACGGGGAGCGTGCTGGGTGACGGACAAATGCAGATCGTCCTGTGGGGGAGCCTGGCAGCTGTCGCCATATTCTTCCTCGTCACCTTCCTCATCTTCCTGTGTTCTAGTTGCGACAGGTAAGGGTCAGAGCGTATCTACGGGAACCTTTAAAGATAGACTGTTCCAGCCCACGGGTGGTGGCTCACACCTATAATCCCAGCCCTTTGGGAGACCAAGGGGAGAGGATTACCTGAGCCCACAGGTTCGAGTCCAGCCTGGCAACTTGGCAAGACCTCGTCTCTACAATAAATCAAAAAAAGCCAGGCATGGTGGCATGCACCTGTAGTTCCAGCTACTTGGAAGGCTGAGGCAAAAACATCGCCTGAGTCCAACAGGTGTGCCTCTGCACTCCAGCGTGGGCAACAGAGTGAGACTCTGACTAAAATATAAAAAATAAAATGTATTCCCTGTACCCAGAAGAGTTTTTATATCCAAAGCAGTTGTGAATGGAATTCCCCCTACACAGCCCCTCACAGAAATACATATATTAATGATTCACTTACTTCTCGCTGCTGCAGAAGTTCACTCTTTAATATATTAGTTGATTGAAAATCTACGTTTGACATTGCTGGACAGCTACTGCAAAGCCCTTGTAGTTTAAGCTTCCCAGAATGAAATTCTTGCTGTTCTTCTGAGCACACCCTTGTCAAAATGTATTCTGTCTCTTTCCACCTGTGGACATTTTGAAACCTAAGTGTGGTGTGCATTTTTTACCATCACCTGCAAGTTAACTGAGAGTTTTTGCTATTACATGTTTTGGGGGACTCATTTACAATGAAAGATTTGAAATGTAGAGCTACCATTTCCTAAGAACCAGATCCATTTTCCTAGGGGAGAGACAGGCTATAATGGGAAATAATCACCCGTGGCTTTTTTTAGAATTATACTTCTGTCTCTTTCCTGTCAGTAGCCCCCCAAAAGAGATCTTTGCTCAGAGAGAAGTAAGTTCTTTCTAATCAGGAGTGATTTTTTCAAGACAGTCAGGAAATATTACAAAGCTCACAGCCCTCCTGTGGGATGGATGTTTCTGGGGCCAGTGCAGACTAGCTGTTAGCCAGCCCTGGCCCCAAACTCTTCCTCAACCTCGGAAGAAACGCCAAGAGTGTCACTTAAAAGTCTGAGATGGGTTCCTTCCCAAAATCTGTCAGGAGGAGAAAAGCCAGACTCTCTGACCCCAGGTAGCCTCTGATCCCTGCCCAGTTTGAACCCAGGCCGGGTTGGAGTCTGGCCAGAAAATGAAGAAACCAAGGAAGCAATGCACGGGCTCTCCTTGGATGGGGTGGGCTTGTGTCTGCAGTTTTCATGCTACCACTAGATGTCACTATTGCTTTGTACAGTATGTCAATGGTCCGTGGGTTTTCTCTACAACTGATGGCTTTCTTTAGACTGTCCTGAGTAAAAACAATTTCTATTTTTACTTGACAGACTTTTCCATAGACTGGAAGTACATATGACTCATTCTGAGAGCATGTACCCTTCCCGGAATGCCAAAATTTGTATTTTCTTTATTTTCTCCAACCCACTGCGGTGTGTGACTTTGCAAAGACTCTAAGTGAGATGAGATAATTGTCTGGATTTTCTAAAGAAAAAAAAAATGGTGTAACTCATTCCATTATTCTAGGTGCAAACAGTTTCTACTCAGGATCCTGCCTCAGTCCACTTTTTGTGAACTTGTATTTTTGTTCCTGGAAAAAGGGGTGCCCGGAAGAGGTGGACAGTCCCTTGCTGTGCCCTGACCTCCTCTTACCCCTAGCCCCTGCCAATGGGCAATCAAGTAACTCTCTGGTTTTTTTCTCTCTTGACAAAATAAACGTGGTTCTTAAAACAAGAGCTTTAAATGTTGGTCAGGATTTGGATAGGAAAGGGTGGTTCGTGTGTTTGCTTCTAGGGGGCACATTTGACATTACAACAATATTTTCTTTTCCATTTCAGGGAAAAGAAGCCGAGACAGCACAGCGGGGATCATGAGAACCTGATGAATGTGGTGAGCCCATGTGTGCATGCCCGGGCGTACGTGTGTGCGCCCATGTGTGCATGCGTGTGTGTGCACATGTAACTTAAGACATCAGCCACTTATCTAGTTCCCATGTGCTTATGACCTGAGTGGCACTGAGCAGAAGTTAGCCGTGGCTGCCTGGGGTACGTCCTTTCTGTAGGCTTAGCGTCACTGTGGCTAGAGGCCTGTGCAGTTAGCCAGGTTTATCAGGAGAACTTCTGCAGTGGATGCCAGATTGATCCTTAGATGGCTCCATCCAACTGCAGGGATGTTTCTTTTTTGCCTCTGCCCAGTTCCAGCTGGTGTATGAATTTGCTGGAACTGTCATAACAGAGAAACACACATGGGGTGGCTTAAACAATAAATCTGTCTTTCAGTCCAAGAAGCCCAACAATCAATGTGTCAGTAGGGTTGGTTTCTCTGAGGGCTCTGAGGATGGGTGCATTCCAGGCCTCTCCCAGCTCTTGGCAGTTCATGGCAGTCTTTGGTATTCTTTGGTTTGTAGTACATCACCCCAGTCTTTGCCTTCATCTTTCTAGGGTGTTCTCTGTCTTTCCCATCATCTTTCCTCTGTGCATGGCCAGCTGTGTCCAAGTTTCTGCTTTTTATAAACACATCAGACATATTGAACTAAGGCCCACTCTAGTGTGTCTTCACCCTAACTAGTTTCATCTTCAATGATCCTAGTTCCAAATAAGGTCACATTCTGAGGTACTGGGGGTTAGGATTTGGATATAACAGCTGGTCGTAAAGCTAATGGAACCTGGGACTCACAACACACGAGGCATAGCCTGACCCTGCTAGGGTTTCCCTGGCCCTCAGCATCTTACAGGGTCCTAAGTATCTTCAGGTAGGTGCTGGGATTCCATCTTGGTGAACAGCCTGGAAGTGTCCCTGTTCTGCCTTGTCCTCTCTGGCTCAGGGTCACACTTAAATGACAGAGCAATTCCAGCAACCTGGGATGGGTCCAGCCTCATATCCACAGGGCTGAGTTCAGAGGCTTTCCTGGACCCCATGTCAGTACTGAAACAGAAGATGCTTTCTGTTCAGGATGTAATTTTTCAAGGTCAAGCAAAACCTGGCTGGGGAAAGAGGGTGCAGACAAGGAGGTGTGGATGAGTCAGGTACATAACATGAGGTCCGGTGCAAAATACGCAGCCGGCAGACACATTCAAAGTTCACCCGTGGGCCGGGCTCGGTGGCTCAGTCTATAATCCCAGCACTTTGGGAGGCTGAGGCGAGTGGATTGCCTGAGCCCGTGGGTTCGAGACCAGCCCGGGCAACTTGGCAAAACCTTGTCTCTACAATAAATCAAAAATTAGCTGGGCTTGGTAGCACACACCTGTAGTTCCAGCTACGTGGAAGGCTGAGGTGGAAGGATCACCGGATCCCAGAGGGTCAAAGCTGGGGTGGCCATGAGCATACCACTGCACTCCGGCCTGGGTGACGGAGGGAGACCCTAACTCAAAAAAAACAAAAAAACAGAGTTCATCTACGAGGCATCTGCCTGGCCTATCAATTCACAGCGCCCTTTTAGCCCAAGCGGGCAGGCAGTTGACAGGACTCCCCCTCCCTGGGCTTTCCTCTCCCTCCTCTCTGCATGCACACACCCACCTCCTCCACCCATATGCTCCAGGCCTTCAGCACCACTCCTCCGTTTGCCCTTTTCTCCCCCCCCCCCCCCCTCCGTTCCCATCTCTGATTGTCCATGTTGACTCCATTTCTCCTCTGCTCCCAGTGCCTCTGCTCTGTCCCAGGGATTGCTGCTGTGGCGGCCTCATCAGAAGAGGAAGAGGGACGGGTGGCAGGGAGAGTCCTCTGCTGTCGCTTCTCCCACCCACAGGATCCGGGCCCCTGCCTGTCCTCACCCCTCTGCTCCCCAGGTGCCAGCTGGGTGGGGAGGCTCCCACCTCCATGCTTCCTTCCTTCCACAGCCAAGGGCCTCAGCTGTAATCGCGACCACTGGCAGTGGTAGCATCACCTGGGAGCTGGCTAGAAGTGAGAATTCTCCTGCGGGTGGGGCCCCGCAAAAGGTTGCTTCTTACACATGCTCCAGTGTGAGTGCCGCTGCTCTAGACGGTGGGTTTCTGCTGTTCTCCCCAAGGTCAGCAGCAGCCCTGGGTGGGATAGCAACGGCGTGGCAGGTGGGTAGAAGGAAAAAGCTGGCTCTGCACGCTTCCTTCCTCATTCGGCATATAGTGAATTACCACCGCACTCACACTTACATGTGCTTTGAGAGAACACAGGCACATGTAAGTACTCAGGCTCACACGGGTGCTGGTGCCATGCACACACACACACACACACCCAGTAAGAGCTCTTCCGCTCCTAGGTCTCGTACAGCTTGCAGATTCTCCATTTCATAGAAGCTAAGACTCAGATGGGTGGTTAGATTCCAGATGATGGTCACTTCAGCCGTGATAGATGATACTGTTATGGGTCCCCCTGGGAGCTCCACCCCCACCCCCATTCCTGCCCACTTCTAGCATCATTTCTGGGACATTAGCACCTGACTCTCAAGCCCCTGGCAACCTGACACCGTGAGCCATCCCACTGTGGGCTCCTCAGATGTGGGACTGCCCTGAAGTGACACAGCGGACTTCCAGTAAACACGTGAATCGTGGCAGAGCGTGAGCTGTTTGCTGTCTGTTATGACTTGGTTCCTGGTCGGGAGTTGGAGGATCTGTGGGGTCAACTAGCCAAGGTTCCTGTGCTCTTTACATCAGAACATTTCCTGTGGAATCTTGCAGCGTGAGGTAGCCTCTTGGGTCATGCAGGCTATAAAGAGGATGGGGAGCAAATCGGTTTTGCAGTGATTCAGGCTTCCATCTGGGACCAGCTGAGTATTCAAGAAAATACATGAACTATTAACCTGCTTTCTGACTACTCTTAACTATAGCTCAGCCTGGCCTATTGTTCCCTCTAGCCCAGCAGAAAACCATCTGTCAATGCCCTTCTTCCCTCCAAGTGTCCTAAGTGTATTTGTGAGAATAAGAAAAGTTTGCAGAGCCGGGTGTGGTGGCTCATGCCTATAATCCCAGCTTCTCAGGAAGCTAAGGCAGGAGAACCATTTAAGGTCAGGAGTTTGCAGAATAAATGTCCTGAGTGGTGGCAAATACGTGACGGGTTCTTCCGACTTGACAACGCACCTGTCCACACCATGCTGAATGTTCAGCAGTTTTTGACACAGAATTGGCCAGGGCAACATAGCAAGACCCCATCTCTAAAAAAAATTAGCTGGGCATGGTGGCATGCAGCTGGAGTCCCAGCTACTTGGGAGGCTGAGGTGGGAGGACCATTTGAGCCCAGGAGTTTGGGGCTGTAGTAAGCTATGATTGTACCACTGCACTCCAGCCTGGGTGACAGAGCAAGACCTTGTCTCAAAAAAAAAAAAAGATATGCTACTTTTTAGCATATGGTTGGTTTTGTATACCTAGAAGCCAGAGACTTGGCTGGTTCTAAAATCATTTTAGAAATAAAAGGCATTATCTCTCCTTGACCAGATTTACGTGTATTTTTTTTGAATGACAAAGGGAAATGCTTTTCCATGTTTTTTATGACATGGCACATCTTTAAGAACAACATCTTGCAGTGTCTGTGTTACAAGGACAAGACTGCTCCCTGTTGGAGTCCATTTTGACCAGCGCTGGGACTTCTGGTACCTTTCTTGCCCTGAGTTGAGGGGACTGATACCTCATGGCCTACGTGGAGCCCATTAGTAAAGCGCCAGGTGGAAGTTCGCAGACAGCCTTGGAAGATTCCCAGTGCCTCTAAAATTCTGGGACAGCACCATCTAATAGAATTTTCCACAATGCTAGAAGCGTTCTGTTTCTGTGCTGTTGGCTGTGGTACCCACTGGCCACATGTGCCTATTGGGCACTTGAAATGTGACTAGTCAACTGAGGAACTCAGTATAATTATATCCTATTTTACTTAATTTAAATGTAAAAACAGCAGTCTCCCTTTGTCCGCGGTTTCTACAGTTTCACTTACCACAGTCAATCATGGTCCGAAAACAGGTGAGTACAGTACAAAAAAAGATTTTGAGAGAGCGTGAGCGAGTGTCCACACGCACAGTCACATAACTTTTCTTGCAGTAGAGTATTACAATGGTCCTATCGTATTAGTAGTAATTATTGTTAATCTCTTACTAGGCCTAATTTATCCATTAAACGTTATCATAGGTCTGTGCACAAGGGTAGACCCCCAAAAAACTGGAATTATCTTTTGGAGGGCGGGTCCTTTGTAATACACTTGGAATTTGTTCCTCTGGGTCAAATGGTCAACCAAAGTTTTATCTGAAAGTTTCAAGAAGGCTGTGTCACAATTTGCAGAAGAAATGTCCCGAGTTGTGGGAAACAGGTGACTGGTCCTTCCACCATGACAACGTACCTGCCCACACCACTCTGAGCGTTCAGCAGTTTATGACACAAAAATGGCACAGCCCCCATGCCCCACGCTCCCTATTTGCCCAGTCTTGCCCCAAGAGATTTTGTTTCCCTGGATGAAAAAGTTCTCAAAGGGAAACGTTCTGCCAATGTGAAAGAGGTGAAACAAACAGCAGAAGCACTAAAAGGCATCCAAATCGACGAGTTCAAAAACTGTCTTGAACAGTGGAAAAAAGCATCTCATTGCGTGTATTGCATCAAACAGAAAGTACTTTGAAGGTGACTAAAGTTTTAACATGTAAGAATAAATGCACAAATTTTTCTGAGTAAATTTCAGGGGGTTTTGTATTATATTGTATTGAAGGAAGACAGTATTTATAGGGTTCAGTGCTACCTGCAGTTTCCAGCATTCACTGGAGGTTTTGGAATGTATCCCCTGTCAACAAAGGATGCCTCCTGTAGTGGATTCTGTTTTCTGTTTTAATATTTGGAAAGAGCCACAGCTAGCCTTCCGCCCTTGAACCTATATCCTCAGCAATGTTTGCATTTGTTTTTGCAGCCTTCAGACAAGGAGATGTTCAGCCGCTCGGTTACAAGCCTGGCAACAGACGCTCCTGCCAGCAGCGAGCAGAATGGAGTCCTCACCAATGGGGACAGTAAGTTCTGCACCAATGCCTGCTTTCCACACAGTCCTCATCACCCACGAAAGTACCAGGTTTTAAAATATGGAGCCCAATAACTAGGAAATGTCTTCTTTCTCACTTTTGGTGGTATCAGTTTTAGCAAAACTTCCCATTTGAATGAATAAGCATCTACTATTTAGCAATTGGCTTCGGTGCGGCAGGCATTGCTCTAAGATTTGTTTGTGTGCTAACTCATTCACTCTACCTCATTTACTGTTATTAATAGTAATATTATTACTACCCTGCAAGACAGGTGTTATTACTATCTATAATTTAAAGGTGAGGAAACTGAGGCACATTGCTGCTGTAACAAAATTACCACAAACTTGGTGCCTTAAAACAACAAAATTGCCGGGCTCGGTGGCTCAGCCTGTAATCCCGTGCCTTTGGGAGGCCGAGATTGAGTGGATTGCCTGAGCCCGCAGGTTCAAGACCTGCCTGGGCAACTTGGTGAGCCCTCATCTCTACAATAAATCAAAAAATCAGCCGGGCATGGTAGCGCATGCCTGTAACTCCAGCTACTCGTAAGGCTGAGGTGGAAGGATCGCCGGAGCCCAGAAGGTCAAGGCTGCAGTGGCCGGGAGCGGCCACTGCATACCAGTCTGGGCGAAAGAGTGAGACTCCAACTCAAAAAAAAAAAAAAATTATGGACATGCAATTCTGGACGTCAGAAGTCTGAAATGGGTCTCACTAGGCTAAAATTAGAGTGTCCATAGAGCTGTGTTTCTCCCCGGAGGCTCTCAGGAAGAATCTATTTCCTTTTCTTTTTCAGCTTCTAGAGGCCACCTGCATTCCTTGGTCCGTGGCCTCTCCTTCCTTCTTCTCATCCCTCTCTGACCAACATCCTGCCTCCCTCCTCACTTATAAGGACCCTTGTCATTACTCTGGGCTCTCCTGGATAATTCAGGCACTCCTCCGACCTCAAAGTCAGCTCATTAGCAGACTTAATTCCACCTGTAACCTCAATCCCTCCCTTTGTTGTATAGCATGACACATTCACAGAATCCAGGGCTTAGGACGTGGACATCTTTTGGGGGCCATTCTGCCTGTCACAGAGAGGTTACTAATCCTCTCTTGTTCTGGAAAATATATACAGGTACTAACAGCTGAGGCTCTGTGACTTGAACTAGGCAATCTGAATCCTGGGCACACCCTCAGAGCCACTCTGAGTAATGTCTGCTTCATACATGGTGTGTTCTTGCTGACGAAAGTAGCAGCTACATTTGCTTCATGCTTTAGGGTTCACAGTGCACTTTCATCTAAGGGAGGCGGCTGTCCGGTTACCCCCATTTACTGAGAAAGAACCTGTGGGGTGATCAGTATTGACACCTGAGTCTTCAAACACCATGACCTAAACGGCTAGAGCCAAAGGACAAAAGTTCACCGCCTCAGTGATAATAGGCATTAAGAACACAGGTGGGTGTTGTACATTCTGAAGGGTTTGGCAATTCATTATCATTTTTTCGCTTACCTCTAGAGATAATATTTCTAATCCCCACCCAAGTCAGACACAGACTTAACTTGCTCACTGTCATATAAGCACCCTCAGTGCACAAGTCTCTGTTTTGTTGTTGGATATGTCCCCAGCCTGGCATATAATAGGCTCTTAAAACACACTTGCTAATGGAAAGGCTGAATGGCTTCCTACAATGACATTTCTGTAGCAGTCCAAGAATTTCACATTTTCTAATTTGAGGTAGGAATTTGGGAGGATGCAGTGAGGTGAAAGATAGACATGGGGTGCCAGTCCCTTTGTGATACTGGCTTAGGGTACATACATGTTTGCCCTGTTGTTTCAGTTAGGCATGCCAAGCCAAGTGCCCTGCACAAGGAAGTGGCTACCAGTAATTCCTCCACACAGGCAGGGGCCAGGGAGTCCAGGGAGAGAATGGCCCCCACACACGCCCCCTTTCTGGTGTCCAGCTTCCTAGTGTGGCCAACTGAGTCTCACTTTCATTCTCTCGTCACTGTGGACATTCTACCTACAAAAGTCTCATCAGGAATAACGATAAGTAAGGAAGGTAACTGTGAGCCACATTATGGTCAAGATAATTTGTTAAATCTTGTAATGGGGAAAATATCATGCATGGCTTTAGTTTAAACTCTGATTGAAGTAAGATATCGGCCAGGTGTGGTAGCTCACGCCTGTAATCCCAGCACTTTGGGAGGCCAAGGCAGGAGGATTGCTTGAGCCCAGGAATCCAAGACCAGCCTGGGCAACATCGAGACAAAAAAATAAAATTAGCCAAGCATGGTGGTGCACGCCTGTAGTCCCAGCTACTCGGGAGGCTGAGGCAGAAGGATCACCTGAGCCCAGGAATTCAAGACTGCAGTGAGCCATGATCATGCCACTGCTCACTAGCCTGGGTGACAGAATGAGACCCTGATTCAAAAGAAAAAAAAGGAATAAAATATCAAGTGACAGTCATAATATCTATTATTTGCAGCTGAACATGATATTAAAATCAAGCATCTTGATTTAATCTAACTACATTATGATTCACTGTAGTGATTAAACACTTGTCTTTCTCTGCTTTTTATTCTGCTTTAGTTCTTTCAGAAGATAGTACTCTGACCTGCATGCAACATTATGAGGAAGTCCAGACCTCAGCTTCAGATCTGTTGGACTCTCAGGACAGCACAGGGAAGCCAAAATGTCATCAGAGTCGAGAGCTGCCCAGAATCCCTCCTGAGAGCGCAGTGGACACCATGCTCACGGCGAGCAGTGTGGATGGGGACCAGGGGCTGGGGATGGAAGGGCCGTATGAAGTGCTCAAGGATAGCTCCTCCCAAGAAAATATGGTGGAGGACTGCTTGTATGAAACTGTGAAAGAAATTAAGGAAGCGACGGCCCCTGGACACCTGGATAAAGGCCACAGTGGCAAGTCCAAGTCTGCTTCTGCCTTGAAAGAGCTTCCAGGTCTCCAGACTGAGGGCAAAGCAGAGTTTGCCGAATATGCCTCCGTGGACAGAAACAAAAAGTGTCGCCAAAGTGTTAATGCAGAGAGTATTCTTGGAACTTCTCCAGGAAACGAGGCAGAAGAAGAGGCCCCGCCACCTGTCCCTGTTAAACTTCTGGATGAGAATGAAAACCTTCAGGAGGAGGAAGGGAGAGAGGCAGGAGAAGAAAGAATCGCAGAGAGGACCAGTGAACCCAACAAGGTGGGCGCTGGCATTTTTGTTTCATGGGCTTTGGTCATGGGTGGGAGTCTAGCTAGTCCTGGGGTTTTCTCTTGCACGTTGTTCTGGAAAATATATACAGGTACTAACAAGTTTGTGGAATAATGAAAGCTGTTTTAGTGTAAGCTGCATCTGACCTTTTTCACCCTCCAAGTAGTAAAATACTGGGGAAAGAAAACACTGAAAACTTGTGTTTATCAAATATTTCTCTCTCGGCACCTTACTTGGATATTTTTCCATTATTGCATCCTGGCTAATCAGGGCCAAGTATTATTTGCTTTGCTTCAAAGACTGAGAACTAAACAGAGAGATTAGACTCTTTGCCCACACATTTTACCTCGTGTGCTCGTTGCTGTCTAAGCAGCATGGTGACCTTTACTCTCCCAGAATCTCTGAAATCAAAGCACAGCAACAAGCTGCGCAGGAATCAGCGCTCAGGTGCCCCTGGTTCTATCTGATTACATAGACTTCCATATAAATCAGAGATCTTATTTTGTGACAATTCCTAAGTGATCACCTATAACTCTTAAATTGAGATATTCAACAAAGCTCCAAAATGTACTAGCAACTCACAGTATATGCGTCTGACAACTTAATGTCTGGGCCACAGTGAATTTTTCATCTTCAATTGTCAAAATCTCCTTGAGAATTAACTAGGCCCGTTTCTTCAGGCAACTGATACTTAATTTCTTTTCTCTACACAGAAAGAAAAATAGAATTCTCTTCTATTCATGTTTTGATAGGAAGACCAAGTAGGGGATTAGTCAGTCACTAGTAGCCTTAAAAAACTTCTAGAGTTCATGATCAGAGGTGATCTCTGGTTATATAGAGTAGACCAAGAAAGTCATTCTCTGTGCTGTTTTCTGAATGCATTTCAACTTTTCATGTTATCCATGAAATCAGCTGATGAGAGCAACAGTAGAAGAGTTTTGAACACGTTCGTAAAATGCAAAAGCACAGTCTAATATTTTTCCCTTCAAATAGCCAAAGACAATAAAACCCATGTAAAGTTTGTGCTGCCTAAACCTATTAGAGTTTTTTACTTACAAGCATTTGAAAGATAAGAGGCGCTGTTGTCTAACCATTTCTAGTAAGCACTTCTCCAGATTTCTCATTAAAAACTGGAAATACTATCTGGAAACCAAATTATCTTTCTATAATATGATTTTAAAAATAGTAATCTATCATCTTTATGTAAGAGGGAGACCCCCCAAAAAAACAGAATTATCTTTTGGCAGCCTCTCATAGTGCAGGCTTCCCCTGCTAGGTAAGTGTTTTAGGATCCCATCAGCCTCAGTGCCCCAACTAGTGTTGTTGTGAGAGGCTGTGTTCATCTTCAATGCATTTTTTTTTTTTTTTTTGGGCGATTCAATGCATCTGCCCATTTCATAATGGACGATTTACGACTGCACCTGTCCGCACTCCACTGAGTGTTCAGCAGTTTTTGGCCAAAAACAGCATGACTCCCATGCCCCACCCTCCCTGTTCACCCGATCTCACCCCGAGCTACCTTTTTTTTTCATTTTCCCATTGAAATAAGTCCTCAGAGGGAAAAGTTTTCCTAATCTGGAAGAGGTGATACAAAAACCAGCAAAAACACTAAACAGTATCAAAATTGACAAGTTCAAAAACCATATTGAGCCGTGGAAAAAGCATCTCAATAGGTGTATTGGATCAAACAAAGAATACTTTGAAGGTGACTGAAATTTAAGCATTTAAGAATAAAAACACAAGTTTTTATAAATAAATTCCAGATTTGTTTGGGTCCCCTCTCCACACTATTCTAATTTTAAGTGAGTTGAGAATTTGAAATGTGTAGTATTCATCCATTCACTCATTCAGCACCAAGATTTTAATGAGCACCTACTATGTGCCACACTGGTGCTGGGAATACACCAGTGAACAAAATACATAAGTGAACAAAATCCCTGCCCTATAGGAGTTTATAGTTTTATAAGAAGAAATAGGTATAACGTTTAAAGTTTATAGAAAAAAAAAAGTAAGAGGGACTGAGAAAATAGGGGTGGGGAGTACAATTATGGATAGGGTGGTCAGGGTCTGCCTAGCTTGTGAAGGCAGCATTAAAGCAGAGTTAAGGAGGTGAGGGGCTGCTGGGCATGGTGGCTCACACCTGTAATCCCAGCACTTTGGGAGGCCAAGGCAGACAGGATATCAAGGAACCCAGGATATCAAGACCAGCCTGGGCAACATAGCGAGACCTTGTCTCTACAAAAACTAAAAAAAATTGCCCATGCATGGTGGTGTATGACTATAGTCTTGGCTGCTCAGGAGGCTGAGGCAGAAGGATCACCTGAGCCAGGAGATCGTGGTTGCCGTGAGCCATGATTGTTATGACCATGCCACTGCACTCCAGCCTGGGAGACAGAGTGAGACCCTGACTCACAAAAAAAAAAGGAGGTGACGGAGTGAGTTAAGCGTTTCTTGGGGATTGTCCAGAGTGAAGCCCCTGAGGAAAGAGGAGAGGACTGATATGGCTGGAGAGGGAAGAGGAAGGGCAGTAGTGGGGAAGAAAGAGAGCATGGCTGGATCCTGAATGACCTTGGCTTATAGTCTGAATGATCATAGGATCCCTAGCGAGCCCTGAGCAGAAGAATGTGTTTTGAGGGAATCCCTCTGACTCTGATTTTGAAATAGACACGAAGGGTGGAAGCAAGGAGGACGAATGGATGGCCATTCTGATAAACCAGATATGAGGTGGTGATAGCCTGGATCAGGTCAGAGGCAGGAGGGGATGAGAGAGGCTCAGCTAGAGCCCAGAGATTTGCTGATGGAGCATGTGTGGAGAGAGAGAAAGAAGCGACAATGATGACTCCAAGGTTGGCCTGAGCCACAGGCAGGATGGAGTTGCCATGAACTGAAGTGGAGAGGATGCCGGCAGAGCAGGTTTTCAGGCAAAGATCGAGCACTCAGTGCTGGATGTTTTTAGTCTGAGATATGAACTGGACTCCAAATAGAGCAATCAGAGAGTAACTGGATAGATAAACAGGGTTACAAGGAAAGGATGGGCCTAGATTTTGCACTTGTAGGAGTCATCCGCAGAAATGGTGTTTTTAAAACCATGAGGTCAAATGAGATCCCAGAATAGGTGAGTATACATAGTGACTAGAAGAGTTCCGAGAGCAGCGATCTGGAAAAGGAACCAGCAGAAGAGATGGAAATAGGAAAGTTAAGCAGGACAGGGCAGGGTCCTAGAAGCCAAGGGAAGAAAGTGTCCAGGCGGGAAGGAGTGACCGGCCACTGAGGCAAGTGCAGCAATTAGGTCGGGGAGATAAGCTGTGCTGGTGATCTTGTTGAGAACAGTCTCCATGGAATGGTGGAGACAGAAATTTGTCTGAAACAGGTTTAGAGAGCAAATAGAGAAAAATTGACTTTATAGGCAGCACTTTTAAGAGATTTTACCCTAAAGAAGTGAGACAACAGAACTGGAAGTGGGACTGGGTTGGTTGTATTTGGTTTTAGAATGAGAGGAATCACAGCATGTTGCAGGTAGGTGGGAATGATGTGCCGGGAGAATTGCTGGAGCTGTATCCATGCATAGGGGTGTGGGGACAGGATGTGATGTGTAGCAGGAAGGATCGCCTGAGAGAGGAAGGAGCTTGGCAAGTTATTTGTGGCAACAGGATGGAAGGAACATGGATGAATCAGAGGCTGGTGGTAGAGGGAGGAGTTCATAGGAATCTCTGATCCCTTCAGTATTCTCAGTGAACTCGGTTGCATGGTCATCTGCTCAGAGTGGGGATGGGTGAAGTGTTGGAGATTGGAGTAGAGAGGAAAAGATGCCAAGTAGCCTGCAAGGTGAGCAGGCACTGGATATACTAGGCAAGTGTTGGATGAGGCTGGATTCATCCATTTTGCATTGCTGTAAACATATACCTGAGACTGGGCAGTTTATAAAGAAAAAAGGGCTGGATGTGGTGGCTCACACCTGTAATCCCAGCACTTTGGGAGGCTGAGGTGGGAGAAATGCTTGAGCTAGGAATTTAGACCAGCCTAGGCAATATGGCAAGCCCTCCTCTCTTTACAAAAGATTTTTAAAAATTAGTTGGACACAGTGGCATGCATCTGTAGTCCCAACTACTCAGGAGGCTGAGGCAGGAGGTTTGCTTGAGCCCAGGAGGTCGAGGCTGCAATGAGCCATAATCGTGCCACCACACTCCAGCCTAGGTGACAGAGTGAGACCTTGATAAAAAAAGAAAAGAAAAAGGGATTTTTGGCTCATGATTTGGCATGGTGCTGGCATCTGCTTCTGATGAGGCCCCAGGAAGCTCATAATCATGGCAGAAGGCAGAGAGGGAGCAGGTGTGTCACATGGCAAGAGTGGAGCAAGAGAGTGAGGAGGTGTTGTCGGTCTCAAGTAAACTGTAGAGCACCAAGCTGGTCATCAGGAATCCAGCCTCATGATCTAGTCATCTCCCACTGAGCCCTACCTCCAACTTTAGAGATTACATTTCAACATGAGATTTGGCAGGGACAGACAATCAAACTGTGTCAGATGCAGAGGAGCATCAAGGGCTCATTTGAGGGTCAAGTTCACCAGTGACCAAGAAGAATGCTTATGATGGTTAACTTTGGAGTTTAAGCTTGGTAAAGCAGGAAGGAAGGACATTGAGGAGAAGGGGACACCTTGGCAAGATGGGTGGGTCCCAACAGTATTGAAGGAGAGCTGGAACTGGGTTACGGAGGGAGTGAGCTTGGATGACGGTGCAGATCTGGAAGGGGTTGCAAGGTGTTGGGTGGTGGAGAGGCTGTGGTCATGTTTCCAGATGATTCAAGGATCTTCCCAATGGTGCCTAAAACTATAGAACCATACAAATCAGGCATTTGATAAAGAAGCACCATGTTTTTCTATTATCAACCCTTCATGGATGATCAATCCTTAGGTGACAATTAGGAATTGAAAGAATAATCTAAATAATTATTTTGGCTTATTTGTACCTACAGATTCAAATACAGAATTAGAGGAAATTTCTCTAAGTATAACATTAGCACTAGATTGCTGAGAACGGTATTCTTTTCTCAGAAGTTTCACATCATTTCTTTATGATTCATAGAGATCATTTGAGAACATTTTTAGACAGATATGAGGAAACATATACAAAAGAAAAGGTTGTGTTCTTGCCTTCTAACTGCTTTCCTTTTTGTGTGTTTGTTCTGACAGAGATTTAGTTCACTGTCATATAAGTCTCGGGAAGAAGACCCGACGCTCACAGAAGAAGAGGTAGGTTTTGTTTCTTTTTAAACAACAGAAAGTTCCTAGAATAAAGAATAGACTTCTGTCCTTGAAAAATGCACTGTAATGTTACCCTTTGTCTGAAAGAGCTGAAATACTCTCTAAAGCCTACATTGGGAGATCAAGGTTTGGGATGTTGGCTTTATAATGGCTCAGAGACGGGGCCTGCAGGATATGAGACACGGAGAACGACAGAATGATCAGGTCAGCTAAGGAAGGAAACTGAGAGAGAAAGGAGGATCAGGAAAAACTAGAAAGGGGAGGAGAGATAATGAGAATGAGAGGAGAAAAATCCCAGTGTGGGAGATTTCATCAGCAGTAAAGAAGGCAATATCAAAAGGAAATTGATTGAGGGTTAGAAAAGTCAGGAAATGAGAACAGGTGGGGATAGGGAATTTGATTCCACCTGGGAGACAGAAGGAGAAGGCTCAGTGAGGAATTTCGAATGCAGAAAGCGGGTAATTTCAGGAAATACAATTCCAGGCCGGAGCTGGGTCAGACATAGCAGCCAGCAAGAAAGGGCATAGTCCCAAGTACCAGGGCTTAAAATGCACTGGTTAGACTTCCAGTGAAGTGCTAAATTTATAAAAGCCAGTATGTACATGTAGTTATATCAAGCTAGACTCAGACAGAGAAGTAAACAACTTAGCTGATCTGGCTGCATGTAGTTTCTGTCTGGAATTCCTAGCGTAGCAAACCTTGTTCGTACAAGAGCAATGTCCATATACAGGTACATTGCCTCCTATCACACTCTGAGTAAAGTATAAAATATTCAAATATGAAGGTAGTTCAAGAAGCAGAAGTGCTTTCCTTGGGCAAGATTGCCCAACCCCCCTCTGTGTCCCCTACCCCCAGCAATGGTCCTGCCCTCTGTCCATCTGGTCGCACAAACCAAAAACCCTGGGGCTTATCTGGATGCCACCTCACTACCCTCAGACACAGTCAATTGCTAAGTCCCGTCAGCTGCACCTCCAAACTGTTGCTTTAATGTTACCCCCTTCTTCCATCCCACCGTGGCCACCCCGCACTAGGCCGGGGCAGACCCTACTGCCAGTTCCTTGCAGCTCCTTGGCCTCTTTCCACTCTGTTTTTTTCACTGTAGCCAGAGTGATCGAATTTAGGCCAAGAAAGTAACATATATAGTAGTTCTGGAAACTAATCCTTTAAAATAAATCGAGACCATGTAAAATTCGAAATCACTTTACTTCTCATCTTATATTTGTCTGTGGTTTTTAAAAATAAGACCTAGTTGTATGATTAATTTTTTTTTTTTTTGAGTTGGAGTCTCACTCTGTCACCCAGACTGGAGTGCAGTGGCCGCTCCCGGCCACCGCAGCCTCGACCTGCTGGGCTCCGGCGATCCTTCCGCCTCAGCCTTCCAAGTAGCTGGAATTACAGGCATGCGCTACCATGCCTGGCTGATTTTTTGATTTATTGTAGAGATGAGGTCTCGCTGCCCAGGCAGGTCTCGAACCCGCGGGCTCAGGCAATCCACTCACCTCAGCCTCCCAAAGGCGTGGGATTACAGGCTGAGCCACCGAGCCCGGCTGTATGATTAATTTTTAACATAAAATAAAGAACTGTGATATACAAACATTCATATTAGGAAGAAAAGTTAGGAAATATGTATATATGGAAATCATTTATGCGTGTATTTATGTAATATGTATGAGGGGAGACGAAAAAATCAGAATTTATTTTTTTAATTGTGTATTTTTTCTTACATGTTTAAGCTTCAGTTACCTTCAAAGGGTTCTCCATTTGATGCAACATACCTATCAACGTTGCCTTTTCCATGGCTCAAAACGGCTTTTGAGCTCGAGTTTGATGCCTTTTAGTGCTTCTGCTGCTTTTCGTTTCTCCTCTTCCACATCAGCAAAATGTTTCCCTTTGAGAACTTTTTTCCTCTGGGGAAACAAACAAAAAAAAGTCACTTGGGTCAAGATCAGGTGAATAGGAAGGGTGGGGCATGGGGTCGTGCCGTTTTTGGCCAAAAACTGCTGAACACGCAGCGTGTTATGGGCAGGTGCATTGTTATGGTGGAAGAACAATCACCTGTTGGCCACAACTTGGGACGTTTCTTTTGCAAATCGTGACACAACCTTTTCAAAACTTCCAGATAAAAAGTTCAGTTGACTAGTTGATCTGGTAGAATAAATTCCAGGTATACTACAAGGGGCCCTCCAGCCAAAAAATAATTCTGGTTTTTTGGTCCTCCCTCTACAGTGTTAGACAGCCCAATCTGAAACTGAGATCTGAGCTCTAAGTACTATTATTCCAATTTAGCAGAATGATGGGGAAAGAGTTGATTATAGAAAAAAGAGAAATCAGAAAAACGAAGAGAGTAACTTATGGAAATATAACAGCAATGTATAGACTGAGTAATAAAGATAAAAGATACTAAGAAAAATTGAAAAGATAAATAGCAAGGAGACTTGAAGAGAAACCTGTATACAAAATAGTCATAGAAAACAAATGGTCAAAAGGAATATTAGATGACTTGAGAAACTCTTATAAAAATGGAAATGTACAATGACCTGTACACACTATGATCATTCCAGAGTCAATATTAAATTGCAAGTTAATGAAAGAGACTATAATTAATAAAAGTACAAAAGCCAAGAAGAAAAACTGCTCTTAAAAAAGTGAGGGACCTGAATGGCAGGGACCGTGGGGAAGAAAGTTGAAGAGAGACACAAAAGCGAGGTGAGGGGCTGACTCTCATTGCTACAATCAAGGTCAAGGTATATTTGTCCTCCTTGATGTTACCCTTGAAAGTGAGGAATAAACTGGCATGCAAGGTTCCCTCATCACTGTCACCCATGGTTTACCCCTTTACAATATGTCCACATTTTTGGCTTGGACATATTGATAATCAAGGCCTAGCAAAACTGAGCCACTAGCGGGTAGTGAGAAATTCTCATGCAAATAACCAGCTATCATGTAGCAGACCTGTCTTAAGAAGCACCTGAGGCCTGCTGAAAACTTCACCCATAGTGTGAGAAAAGCAAAAGCAGGAAGATGTCTCTAGGCACTTGGGAAGCCAAGCATCTGTAAGGAAGCATGTTTCTTTATTTCCTGGGTATTGGAATAAACCAGTCACTACAGTCAAAATAAGTATAGGTAAGGAAGGGTATTTTTACTTCTTTCCAACCTTGATTTCTCGCAATAAAATAATACTCCCCCAAAAATCTCTGCATCAGTACATTTAGTCTATTGTTACCAAAGAATTAACCCCACCAGATATTAAAAGTTGCATAGGATTTATCAGCGAGAACGTGAGAGTGTGCTTGGAAAACCACTTGTTCTTGCTATAGGAAAGAACATCCTACAAGTTGTCACCAGACTTTGTTTCTGAGTTGTCTGGTTGCAAATTAAGAATGAATTTTCCTGGCAACCCCCTTAGGTCCCCTCCCACTGTGGGAGCTTTTCTGTCCTCTCAATAAATCCTGCTTTCTTAAAAAAAAAAAAAAAAACGAAGAATTTTCCCACTGAAGAGAACTAAGCCCAGTCTGTAAATACCTATTTAACCAGCAACATGCAACCAAGGCAAAAAATGATGGAAAACCATACCCTGACAGATATATGTGTATTGCCAGCTGGAACTGCTCTAGAGACTGCTGTGCTAGAGGAAGCATGGCACAGCCTGCTTCAGTGGTCCTCACGCATTTGGTGGGCATCAGAAGCTCTGCTTGCCGGGCCACACCCCAAGGATTCTGATTCAGTGGGTCTGGGCTAGGTCCTGAGAATTTGCCTTTCTGATGAATTCCCAGATCCTGCTGCTGGTTCAAAACCCACATTTTGAGAATCACTGGTCTAATATATGTTTTGCCCCCCTTTTTTTAAAAAAAGGAGTGGGACCTTTTTTAGGTGAAATATCATTCTGATATAGAAATTAAATAAACCATGAGGTTGTGGTCAGGCCCCGGGGGCTTCTGGACCTGCCTGCTCTCCTCAGCAGACCTGAGAACTCAGTTTTCACAGAATCAAGGGCATATGACTTATCTGCTTGCACAGTTGAAGATCATGTACATAATTATTCTCTATAGTGCATTCCAGAATTAGAATGCATAATAAAGCACAAATCTTAAAAGTACACACACACACACAGATTCCTATGAGCGCTAAGTATGTAGCTTGTCACTAAAAGAGGGGAGAGGGAGGTCACCGCTGGAAGCTTGTTTATTCAACTCTTCCTTTGTTTCCTAGATCTCAGCCATGTACTCATCAGTGAATAAACCTGGACAGTTAGTGAACAAATCAGGACAGTCGCTTCAAGCGCCAGAGTCTACCTACACCTCCATCCAAGGGACCCCTCAGAGGTCACCCTCCTCCTGTAATGATCTCTATGCTACTGTTAAAGACTATGAAAAAACTCCAAACAGTACACTTCCACCAGCCCGAAGACCCAGCGAGGAGCCAGAGCCCGATTATGAAGCAATACAGACACTAAACAGAGAGGAAGAAAAGGCCACCCTGGGGACCAACGGCCCCCATGGCCTTGTCCCAAAGGAGAATGACTATGAGAGCATTAGTGACTTGCAGCAATGCAGAGATATCACCAGGCTCTAGCAACCCAGAAGATAACTCCAGATGACCTGTGATTCACCTGGGGACGTTTCTTCTGTGGAAGAGAAGAAGTGACATAAATCTGTGCTTTCCATGCTGCTTTAGTCAACTGAAGACAAGTGAAGATGCCATGACTGTTTTCCCAGTTTTTCCATTTCTGAGACAGGTACGGACCTGGCTGCACCTGAGTGTGTAACTGCCTGCCAGGGGGACAGGCACACCCAAGCACATCTCCCTTCTGCACCCTTACCCTCCACAAAAGATCCTAGCTGTCAGCAGTCCCATCCCACTAGCAAGGAGAGCCAAGCCAGAAGGAAGAACTGCTCTCACCGATGACCACGGACCCCGTGGCCTAAAATACTGCCATTTGGAAGAGCCAGATTTTTCTTCCTCTCTTCCCTCTTCTCTGTCAGCTATTGACTTTAAAAATGTACGGCTTTTTTCCTCTTGAAGTTTTCTGATTTCTATGGTTTATTCCAAGGAAATCTTCCCCTAAGTCTTGGCCTTTGCCTTCAAGGTAGAGGTTTTTAGGATGATGACAAACTGTGGTTGCTGGTGACCGTGGAGCTTGCCAGTCCTCTTCAAAGAGCTGCAAGTCGGGAGCCGGGAATCTGAACCCTGGAGGTAAACAGGACTGGAGAGGGACGTCCCTTGAGTCCCCTGAAGGGACTCCTTCCGTCTTTGTTTCTTCTTATTTTGGTACTGTGTCAGCAGCCTCTCCCCAAAGTACTTGAAGTCAGTTTTAGATGCTTTATTTTATTTTTCTAGTCAAAACGTTTTTTTCCCCAGTGTTTGAAAACTCGTCAGAGCCTCTTCAGTATTCTCAATGATTATGGTACTTCTATGCTTAAGCCCAGAGCTCATTCTTTCAAAACAGAGAGCCTTAATCTTTATGTTGGGCCACAGAACACATATTTGGACAGCAGCCATGCATCCGTCTCTAAAGGGCTGTGGACATGAATGTGTATTTCCAGTGGTCTCTGCTGCCCACACCAACAGTGTGGCATCTCGTAAGTTAACTGCTACCCTATGGTAATCTATCTAAGATTAAAGTAAACGTTTATTTTTGTTATATAAATTTATAAGATGTTTTATGTTTAATGCCTAATTTCTCAAAAGTGCCAGAAAAAAATGTATATTAACTATTTTGATTTTATGTACAATGATTTATACTCTCATTTTGAAAAGATATCATAAAGCACATAAGCTAGATAATTATAAGGGAGTTGTTATTTTTTTCTAGGTGTTTAAAACATTGAAGGTTTTTAAAGACTCAACTTTTCAAATGGTACTTAGAGCTCCTGATCCAAATCACCTAGACCAATGGAAAAATAAATGAAATAGACATAAATAATCCTTTTCAGTGGCTTGTGGTGGGCAATATTGAAATATTTGAAATAACAAAAATTGAAAAACAAAATATGACAGGAGGTGGCTGTGAATTATGAACCTCATAGTGATATCATAATTCTATTAAGAGTTAATTATATTTTTTAATAACAGTGATGAATTCTACAGTCCAGTGCTTGCCAATGCAAATTGCCTGTTGGAATCTTTTCCCTTCATTTTACAAAAATCAGTGGCTGAGGTAACTCAGATGAAGAGCTCAGCCTGGTTTGAATTTAATCATCTCTTTAGCTTTTACAAGGCCAGCATTAGGAAACTTGTTCACTTTTCATTTTCAAAGAAGCCTAGTTGAAGTGCTGTTATGATTATGGGCTATGGAAAAGCAGTTTCTTCTATAATGATAAAGAAAAAAAATAATAAAGCAATTATTCCATCCCACTGTGACATCTGTGACTTTTCAGGTTTAATAATCTTGCTATTTTCCCTCTTTATGACAATGAATGCAATTGGGTGGATGAAGCTTCTTGAAAATTATAGAGACTGGCTCACTGGCATGTTTTTCCATCCCCATGTTCATGACTTCATTTTGTGACTGCTCTCCATTACGTTTCTGACATTGTGAAGTGAGCAATGTTGGGGACAACTAGTTGATTGTCATTATTTTTCAGTCATCCTAGGCCCTCCCATGAAGCTGTCCATGAATCATCATTGATTAGAAGATAATGACAGAATACCCTTGGACTAGAAAGAAGTTTAACAAGCGAGTCCAAGGCAGTTCCTCTCTGAATTCAGATCCTTCATAAACATTGTTTTGCCTGGTGACTTCACTGCTTTACAGTAATGACTTTGACTCAGTAATCTCTCACGTCCCGGGACTCCTTTAGTGCATAGTAACAGCCACATCACCTGGCGCATCTAGCATTGTGCTTACTGTAGTGATATCCTTTTAAGCACCTGACACCTCAAAACTTTTATTGCATTTTATATCTCACTTATCACCAGGGAATTAGGTACGATCTCTAAAGTGTAAAATCCTTTCTGCAGAGAGAAGCTCATCATAAATAATCATGTCATCTTGAAATTCATTATCGGAATTTCCCCAGTTTTCAAATACAGGCTATGCAATATAGCTATTAATATGCACTGAAATATTTCTTTTAATTTGAGAACCAGTGGTAGAATACACTGTGATATGAAGTAGTTTAAGTGTACTTTTAAAGGAACTATAGCGCCCTCTAGCAAAACTCGAAAAGAATAAATGACAGCATAGTCCTAAAGGCTGGGAGGCAAAAGCAGGGTGAACCTCAGAAAGACAGCTCTGTTTCTCAGAGCATTGGGTGCTTTACTGAAGTTTATTTACTGGCACATCACCACTGTTTTGACCTTTTATAGCACAGGGGTTTTTTAAAAAAATAAATTTCATTACATTCACTTTGTCCAAAATCTGTGCTTGAATCTTTGAGTTGGACAAAAACCTATGGCTTATTTTCAAGTTTCATCTTGAGCTAAATGCTACAGAGTTTAAATGTAGGAAAGGTAGTTATTGAAAACAATTTACTATATATTTAAAATTCAACTTTGACATCCAATTATAATAACATAGATTTGTGAAATTTTGTAAGATAATAAATTTTAGGAATATGTTTTGCCCTATAAATCAGAATTATATCCATCTTGATTAAAAGTAGGATCTTTGTTTTTATACAGACTTTTTTAAAGTTTAGAAGCATTTTTTATGCTACTTTTAATATTTCTGGAGTATAGTCATCAGGAAAGGGTAACCTGTTTTATATGAAATATTTGAGGAAATCTTAAATTCTAGAAGAAGTAATTTTTGCAAGTATGTTGACTACATACATTTTTTTCTATCCTGAACTAAATTACATTATTAGGTCTGTTAAAGCTTTTGAAGCTACCACTAATCTTTGTGGAAAAAAGACTAATTACTGATTTATCTGTCCTCAAAATCCCAGAGTTAATTCTAGTTGAGTGCTAAATTAACAATAAGTAGTTAACACAGAGAACTCAGATTTAACCACAGTATGTCACTATATCAATTTCTCTTGATTTTTATTTCTAATTTTAGTATTTACTTACCTTAACCAGTAATATACTATATATATCGATACACACAAATATGTACATACACGTATATAGTGCATATGTGGTTATACACACACACACACACACACACACACACACACACACACACACACACACACACACA